ATCTTGTTCTCGATTGCAAATCTGATAGGCAACTATTTCTCTATCCAGCAAGGGGAATAGTGGAACAGAGCTGCAGCCAAAGGCTTGGTCATCACCTCACCTGCAGCCTGGAGTCACAGGCCATCTGCATGGCTGCATCGTGGAATCTCAGGCTCAGAGAATGGATCAGAGCGACAAGCTGGGATGGCGATTTGTGGTCCTCTCTCTTCTTGGACTGTGGCTTGAAGACTTGCGGAACAAGCACGCTGTGCAGGTAGATCTGCTCTGTTACACGTCTCCTAAGTGAAATCCGCAGGAGACGTGGAGTAAACCGACAGGTGTGTACCTGGAGCGAGGGTGTGAGGCCGCAAGGGGTAAGAGCCACGCCTCCGCATGGGGTTGGAGAACCTTGTCCACTGACGCTTTCTCTGAGCACCGTTAGACCTTTCCGTTTTGAGGATTCCTGTCAGCGTTTAATTATGATGGTGAATTACACCTTTCATACAACCAACTCAAAAACGTGGGAAAAAGCAGATAGTGTCAAAAACATCATTTTCTTTATTTTTGAGCAGCTGTTTTGTTTGTTCATCCATTTATTTTATCAAAGACACACTTGTTGTCTTTTAGCTCCTAACACTTTGCTTGCTCGGTTTGTGTGTCCTCATCGACCTTTGCTGTAGCTCAGTGGGAGCGCGTGGGATAAGGGGGAATAATCCCGTTTCCAGGAGGATCAGGAGAAGTTTGAGGAGCTACCGAGCACCTTGGCGGGGGGGGGGGCGGGGAGGGCGGGGGGGGCTGGGGATGCTTTTACGCCAAAGGACCTCTGCGTTCCTGGTTTCCTGAATGTGATGCCGAACGCTTTCAAAAAGAAGCTGAGTTGAAACTCTGCCCCTTACGTGACATCGCTGCAAAGGTGAGAGCCTTCTGTGTGTAACTTTGCCTTTTATTAGCGCTAATTACGGGCAAGTAGACTGTTGTCCTTTCTCTCCAGATTGGAGGGAACCTTAGTGATTCTTCCACAACCCAGCTCTGAAGACACATCTCCATTTAAAACTCCGCATCTGTTCCCAAATGTCAAATCGTTGCTGCGCTCCTGTTTAGAGACTGACTCTAACCCCCATTTGTGCACTGAAGTCCTGCACCCCCAGCGTGACTGCATTTGGACACAAGGGCTGTAAGGAGCTACTTAGACTTTAATGAGGCCCTAAGAGGGGGTGTTAAGTCTCATAAGACCGGCCTCCTTGTAAGAAGACACACCAGAGATCTCTGTCCAAAGACTTGAGGCCACACAAAGGAGGCCACGGTGAGAAGCCGGTCATCTGAAGCCCAAGGAGAGGGGCTTCCCCAGAAGCCAGCCCTGCCTGCGCTTTGATCTCAGACTTTGCAGCCCCCAGAACTCAGAGAAAGTAACTTTCTGCTGCGTGAACCCCTCTTGCTCTCCTCTTAGTCAGTGGTGTTGGCTGGTGGCTGCACGGGTGACCCTCCCAGTCAGTGGTGTTGGCTGGTGGCTGCACGGGTGACCCTCCAGACTGTTGTGTCCGAGGAGTCTGAGTTTGGCTTTGAAAAAAATCACTTCCTTCAAGAGCTCCATCCTGATCTAAGCCCTTGCCCATGTCCTCTGTCCTCGGAAGTGGCTGCTCTGTCCCTCGCCCGGCCCCATGCTGCCCTCCACAGGGCGCTGGGATCATGCTACCCTGTGCATCAGAATTACCTGAGAAGTTCTGTGAAAGAGACAAATGCCTTGGTGGTGGTGGTGGGGGCGGGGAGTCCATGTATCATTCTGGGTGGGACCCTGGTTTCTGGATCCTACCTAGTGTCCCGGGGATTGTAGAGGACTTTCAGGGGACGCGCCATGCAGTGCGTGGGGCTGTGGAGGAGCACCTGAATCACAGGGAGACTTGCAAAAAGGCCAGGCTCAGGCCCTACCTGCAGAAATCCTGATTCTGGAAATCCATTGCTGAGTTCCTATAGGGATGTTTCACTTCCGTATTGTACTTTTCAGCTCCAGAATAGCCACGTGGCTCTTTCTACCTGATTTCTCTTTATTCATGCTGTCTGCTAGATGAGATGACACTCTCACACTTGGCCTTCGTTCTTGAAGCACAATTTCCTTTAGTTTTTCTACACACTTAAAACAGATGATTGGAAGTTTCTGGCTTGTCAGTTCTGCATCGGGGCTTCCTCACGGACTGTTTCTATCAACAGTTGTTTCCTTCTGTATGGGAGCCGTATCTCCTTGTTTCCTTTTCTGTCTTATGGTTTTGTTCTTGTGGTTGAAAACAGAACATTCTAGAAATAACAGATGGCAACTCTGAAATCAGATTCTTCCCTTTCCCCAGGGTTTGTTTTGTCTTACCTGTTTGGCTACTTTTCTGAATGAATTATGTTCACTCTATTTGGTCATGGATGTCTCTGCTCAATTCTTTTAGTGAGTGACAAACTTTTGGACAGAGAATGCCCTTCCTGGAAGCGGTAAGTCTCCCAATCTTTGCCGAGGGGCTCTGTGTGCAAGTTGGGGAATGCTTTCAGCACTCAGCCAGACGGTGATCAACTGTGCCTCAATCTTCTCTTCCTACTGGCATAGAGCCCCACAGTCATCCAGAGGTAAACGCTCCCAGACATTGACGGACTTTCCTGAGCTGGCACACAACCACGTGTATGTGTCTGACCTTCTAGATTCTCAGAAATACCTTAGAGCTTTTTAAAGCATCCTGTGGATGTCTCATTCCCCAGTTTTTATTTTACTTTATTCTATTGGTTGTCCAACTTTTCCCCACTGCCTTAGGAAGCTGCAATGCTCAACAATCAGTTGCCTCTGATTGTTTTGGACAAACATCCCTGAAGAAAAGGCTACTCATACGGAACAGGCTTCAAATCCAGTAAAAACAAGGCTGGGCTTTTGACTGGACTCTCCCAGGGACAGACCTCCATTCTGCCCCAGGGAACTCTTGACAGACCTCCATTTTGCCCCTTCTGGGCTGCTGATTTCCACCACAATCACATGCTGATGGTGTTCAAGGGCACTGTGGATCAGGGGAGGGAAGAGATGAGATAAAGAAGTTAAAAGGCTACAAAGTTTGTTTTTCTCCCCTGAATTTGGCCATTTTTCTTAAAATGGCTCCCTAGATTGTTGTTAACCTTGACTTGATTTCCAGAGTTCTGAAAAAGTTAATTCTGACCACTTTTTGCCAGCGGTCTCATTGCTTTTATGAAAGTGAGGGCTTTCAGAGGCCCTGACTTGTTCCTTGAGATCACTAGGTAGAGTTAATTTTAACACTGCATTTTATTTCACCCAATATATCCAAAATATTTTATTTGGACATATAATCAAGGCAAAAATTTTTAACGATATATTTTACATTTTTATACAAGGTCTTCAAAATCCAGTGTATATATTTTACTAATAGAGCGTTTTGATTCAGACTAGCTACATTCCAAATGCTCCTTAGCTACATGTGGTTTATGATGCCGTATTGAGCAAAACAGGTTTCTATCATAGACCTGTGTTTTTCACCATATTCCCCTAGGCTTGATCAATATATATATATATATATATATTTTTTTTTTTTTTAAGTTTACATCCAAGTTCGTTAGCATATAGTGCAATAATGATTTCAGGAATAGATTCCAGTGATTCATCCCTACATATAACACCCAGTGCTCATCCATCAAAGCCTTAATCCCATCCTCCTTAATGCCCCTTACCCATTTAGCCCATCCCCCCACCCTGGACCCCTCCAGCAAGCCACAGTTTGTTCTCTATATTTAAGAGTCTCTTATGTTTTGTCCCTCTTCCCTGTTCTCATATTATTTTTTATGTTTGAGCAACATTAAAGTGACAATGATCAGTTTACTAGGTTGTAGGTGGCCATATTATCTAAGTGCTCAATGGCAGAAATCCTTTGAGGGCAGCCAGTGTGTGGGGTGTGATGCTGTGTGTTTTCAGTTCTTCAACCTGGAAATGGAGAGAGAAAGTAGAACACAAACAAACAAACAAACACAAACCACCACAACAACAGAGAAATTACTCCCAATAAAACGTTAGGATGAGTTAGTGCAGTAAATTAGATTGTTTTCAGAAATACCCAGTCCTTCCCTTTCCCCTCCAAGGAGGAGTTTACCTCTCTGGTCCGCTGATGCCAGCTTGATCATGCGAGTGGAGATATTAGCATTTGTGACACAGAAGAAGCCTGAAGATTGTTTGCACAGCTGGGCTCCAGTGCCTCGGACAACCTGCTGGAATAGGAATTGGATGTCAGACACATGGTACAGCTACCCCCACCAGCTTCCCCCAGGGTAAGCCCAACCTTTGTTAGTTTAACCCAGTGAGTGCACACATGCCTAAGATACCAACACACATTATACAGGATGCTATTGAAATATTGTGGGTGGTTGTTTGTTATGCAGCATAAGTGTGGCAATAGCTAGCTGATACAACTGCCCACTGAAGATCACCAAAATAAATGTATGCTCTGAAATGATACTGTAAGTCAATGAGCAAAGGGGCAAGTCAGCTTTTGCCATGGCAACAAACAATTCTCTTAAACAGTCAACAGTTTATTATTTCCCACAGGGTTTGCAGGCAAGGGATTGGTTTTCTACTGCAGCCGCATGTCAGCAGAGACCTGATTCTCATGCCCTTCCAGGTTGAAGGAAGAACCATGTAACTGGGATGCCCAGTTCCCACGCAGACAGGAGTCATATACAGAGCGAGACAAAACAAGCTAGTGTGTTCAGGGTTTCGCTCAGGCAAATCTGCATCCATTCATACTGCGAAAAGCTAATGCCAGCCTCTCAGCCCATTGCTTGTGAGACAAGGACGCAACTTCCTGGGCAGGCGGGGGCGTGGCAAGGGGAACACGTATTTCCTGAGCAACAATGCAATAGGACCGCCCATCTGAAGTCATCCAGCTGTTAATCTGATAACGTTTCAGGAACAGTTTGATTCCCGTAAACAATATGTGATCAGAAACATGATTTCAGAATAGCAACGGATATTCATATCAAACCAGCTCTGTTTTCCAGGAGCTTCACTAAGGCCCATTCATTCCCAGAAATTCTCTGGCGGGCGAGGAGCAGAAGCAGAGCTTGGGACATGCAGGGTGAGTCAGGGTGCCTTCCCATAGCTTAGTTCATCTGGAACAACACGTATGCTTTCTGAATTATAACAGGGACGTGTGGTCAGGGCCAACCGCCGTCCCCTCAGCCCCCAAACACTGCTGTCAGCTCACTGTGTGTCTGGTGGCTGCTTCTGTGGGGTTCCTGGAAGATGATATCAGCTGTGCGGGCGCTTCCCGGCCAGAGCAGCTGCTGGGCCACGGGGGTGGGGGTGGGGGGTCAGCCCTGCAGCCTGCCTGCTGCGGACCTAGCTCAGGGCAGGGCGTGGGAAGGGAGCTGCACAGCATGCAGGTGTCCCCCAGATGTGCCGTGGGGGTCGTCCGGCCCGGCTCCCTCCTGCGCGGCCGCCCCTAGTTTGCCTTTGCCCTTTTCCTAGCAGCGGCTGCAGGCCATTCCCCCTGCTCTCGGTTAGTCAGCATTTTGCTCAGGGTGCAGTGACCCCAGGCAGCCATGGGAATACAGGACGCAGCCTTTCTGCGCAGCCCGGACCAGAGAGCGCCCCCCGCCTCCCAGCCACATGAGCGTGCTCTCGGTAAGAAAAAGAAACCAGTAATCTGAGAAGGGACTCCAGACTCCTTCCATCCCCAGCCTGGCCACGGTAGCACCTCGGTTGCATTATCTAAACCCTGTGTCCAAATGTTCCCTTGTGATTCACGAGAGGCTGACTGCGTTCCGTGGTCCTGAAGCCACACTCGTGCCCGGTGGTACCTTGACTCCCCCCCGACTCGGTTGTAAGACAGAGACCTTTGAATACAGTGTCTGAAATAATATGTTTGCACTGATTTAATAACTAATTTATTTATTTAAAAATTTTTTTAATGTTTTATTTATTTTTGAGAGACAGAGCTGGGGAGGGGCAGAGAGAGAGGGAGACACAGAATCCGAAGCAGCTCCAGGCTCCGAGCTGTCAGCACAGAGCCCGATGCGGGGCTCCAACTCGTGAACTTTGAGATCATGAACTAAGGCCATGAATCGGCTGCTTAACCGACTAAGCCACCCAGGCACCCCAGTAACTAATTGAACCGTGGGTGCGTTTATTTAGAATGAAGTGAAGGGTCCCTCATATAGTGACATTTCTACGTTGCTTCTTTATGACAGAGCCTTTCCTCAGAGGCGCATTTGGCAAAATGGCTGTCTCGACTTGGAAAGCCGGTGTGAGCTTTGTCTCAGGGTGCGGGTACTGTGCCTTGTGAATGAGGAAACATGGCCTCAGGCGGCTCCCCAGCCTCATCCCTCCTGCACAACTCACTTGATCCCCGAACAGCTACCTCAGCCTTGCCCCCAGCTCTGTGCTCTGTTTCCCTGCACTGGACCAGCCTGGGGCCCTCACGTCCTTCTGTGTCTCCTTGTTTTGCTTAGCACGGCGTCTCCGGCCTCACCCCTGCTCTTCCATGTGATCAGGTTTCTTTCCTTTAGGCCAAATAATATTCCACCACAAGTCTCTCTCTCTCCCTCCTTCCCTCCCTCCCTCCCTCTCTCAATCCAAAGCCAAGATGTAGACATGACCTAAATATGCATCCACAGATGAATGGATTACAAATTATATTTATTAATGCAGGAATTTTCCTGGGAACCCCAGATGGTGCTATTACTTTTAGCAGGAATGAAATTCAAGAATCCCAGGGGCGCCTGGGGGGCTCAGTCAGTTAACCATCCGACTTTGGCTCGGGTCATGATCTCATGGTTCATGAGTTCAAGCCCTGCATCGGGCTATGTGCCGACAGCTCAGAGCCTGGAGCTGCTTCAGATTCTGTGCCTCCCTCTCTCTCTGTCCCTCCCCTGCTCAGGCTCTGTCTCTCTCTCTCAAACATAAATAAACACAAAAACAACAACAAGAATCCCAAATTCCAAGTAACCTCAGTCCTGGAAGGCGGGGGCCCTCTCAGCTTGCTTCTGCTCCGTGAGGACCTCTGTAGCCCTTACCTGGTCTTGGCTGCTCAGCGCATGACTCACCAGTGAACACACCTGCTCCTTCTGGACTCAAGTCAGGAAACACTGGACACCCCCGGGGGATCTGTGTTTACAGGAAACGAAAGCCGTCAGAACAGAGCAGTTGTTTAGCAACCTGACATGGGTCTCCTAGAAACAAATTTAGAAGCAGCGCTCTCCAGGTCTCTCTCTCCTGCAGTCAGAAGAGCCTTGTTCCCAGTCAACACGACAAACATTTCTGACCGCATGACACTCAGTGGCGTTATTTTTCTCTCGTTGGCACATGAGCAGGTTCGTGTCACCGAGGAGCCATCGCGGGGAATGGCGTCCGACCGTGGCCGTGTCAGTCAGGATGCCCCTGGCCTTCTGCTTTTCCTAATTCAGCTTCTGCGACTTTGTCCATACCCAAGACTGTGGGCTATTTCCAGATGTGGTCTCCAGCCCAAATCTGGATATTTAGGAGTATTTTATAATCTTAGTGATGGGGTTCTTGAGCAAACTCTAAGAAAGAATTCTTGAGACATCTTTGGTGCAAAGAGGTGATTTTATTAAATAAAGGACAGGACCTGTGGGCAGAAAGAGGTGCACTGGGGTCATGAGGTGTGACTGATAATAGACTTTTAGTTTCCTGGGAGTTAAGGATAGCATAAGTATCTAAGCAAGTAAGCAAGGCTTTCAGGACCTTGAAGGGCTAGCTGCTCTTGAGACACGGTTACTTTTAGTCTTTAATAAAACAAAAACATCAAAGAAGTAAGGCAGCCATGAGCTGCTAGAGGAAGGCCACACTCTGCATGTTTCGGGTGTCTATCAGTGGGCTGTAGGATCTAAGGAGGTTTCATTTATGTTATATTTCTCTTGCCTTTGCTCCCTCATCACCAGCAGCTGACTAGCCATAGCCATGCAGTGTGGGCACAGACACCCAAGTCTAAAACCCAACTCGTCTCCTGAACTGAACTGGCTCCTTGCTCTGCAGCTCGGCGCATCTCAACACTGTCCGCTTCGGCTGGAGTTTCCTCACCGCCCTGTCTCTCTCCTTCCACACCCACACGCACACCCTTGTGCTTGGAACCTGCCGCCCACCCACACTTTGGGGCAGAAGCCCTGGGCCCCACCCGAATCTTTAGGATGCCATGTGTTTCGGCCTGCAGGGATTCTCCAGAGCCCAGCCAAGGCTCCTCTGCCCTCCCGGGGGGACCCCGGAGCTCTGCGAACACCAGGCTTCCTCTGTCCCCCTCCGAGGGTGAGCGTGCGCCCTTCCTCCCACCCAGCTTCCCTGCGGGACTCACTCCGGTTGCTCCCGTGGCCAGTGGTGTCCCAATTTACCTCTTCCCCAGCTGCCTTCCCTCCCTTCTTTGCAACATGTCCAGCCCCTGAGCTCTGTTCTCTGCACCACCTTCCCTTCCAGCCTCATGAAATGCGAGGAGCTCCATGTGCTGCATCTAAACACTCACATTTTAGGACTCAACTCTGAGTTTCTCACTTGTTCACCTGCACGCTCCTGGCATCATTCATTCACCTCTACTCAATGCAGTCTGACTTCAGATTAACTCTCCACTCCCTTCCTAGATAGGAGGCTCTGTGAACGTCAGCCCTTTGATTCTATTCCTTTGCTCCCAATAGAATGTGGCACATGATAAGTGACATAGAACTCCTGGATAAATGACCAAATCCCTAACACCAAACCCCACTGAAGCAGGGATTCACATCTCTCCTAGGATCTACAAATATTCGTTCTATCCCCTCTCTTTACCTTACTCCAGTTATTTTCCTTAGAATAAGACAAAAATTTCGACCGCAAGAGGCAGCAGTCACCAAAGTTACATGTATTTTTAATATTATCCCTTTATTTCCTACAGGTGCATTGCTAAAAGATACGTAGATGTCACAGCCCTTGATGGAGATGAGGGTCTTCCGTTGCCCAGTGGCACCGGCCCTAGCTGCCCCCTCACCACTGTCGAGGTGGGTGAGACTCTGAATGGTCTCAGACTCTAGCTGGGCTCAGGACCCTCAGGGTCAGCTTTACAGAAATCCATAAAGTAGGCAAGTATAATTTCAGGTGAAATCGAGGTTTCTGGTGAAGGATTTAAAAACATCCCATGGTCTTGCACCTGTTGCCCGTGTGGGACCCAGACATTTGAAGTCCCTTGTCCATTACCGGCTGCTCAATCCCAAGTGCTGAAGAGGACAGACCGCCTTCCATTCCTGTAAAGGAAATGTCGGCGAGAGCCTTCCAGGCACAGAAGGCTCCGGGGTATCGGGAAGAGTATTCTGAAGATATTCCTATCACGTTCATTTACCGCCAGTCCCCAGATCCTTATAAACAATGAAAGCTTTCTGTAAATTTCCCAATCTTCTAGAATTAAAAATACAACTCAGCGGGGCGTCTGGGTGGCTCAGTTGGTTAAACATTCTCAACTGGAAGGTAGCCATTTGTGTACAATGGGCATATATTTAATAGCATACAACGGTACACTTAAAATCTTTTAGGGGCTCCTGGGTAGCTAAGTCAGTTAAATGTCCGACTTCGGCTCAGGTCATGATCTGGGGTTCATGGGTTTGAGCCCCTCATTAGGCTCTGTGCTGACAGCTCAGAGCCTGGAGCCTGCTTTGGATACTGTCTCCCTTTCTCTGCCCCTTCCCTATTCATGCTCTGTCTCTCTCTCTCAAAATAAATAAACATTAAAAAGAATAAAAGAATACAACTTAGTGTCCCAAACTTCCTCCTTGTGTCTGGATGGACCATGGATTTAGGAGGATGGAAGACCAGAAGCATGTGATACAGGGCCCCTGCTCACCAAGTCTGGCCTGCGGCCACCTGGGCTGGCATGTGGGCACAGGGCTCCGAGAGGTGTGGGCTGCCAGCTGCTGATGCAGAAGCCACAGTCTGGCCTGAGGATCCTTCCTTTGGGGGTAGGTGCGGAGGTCCCAGCTGTGCCTGGGAAGAGCCCAGTGGGAACGGAGGTTGCTCACCCAGGACCACGCAGGGCTGCCCCGCACAGAGGCGCCTCCTGACAACTCAGGCTGATGTGCGTTTGTTCTAGAATGGAGCTGTCTAGTTGCCAATATTTTAATCCATTCATTTATAAAGTTTACACACAATGCCCATATTTTTGGCCTTGTTTTGTGAGTAACATCTTTCAAGACGCCTGTGTCTTGGATATTCTGAGAAGCTGATTCCGGTAAAAGTATCTTTAGCTCTACAAACTGTGCGGTTCCTTTCTCTTCCTTGTATCTGCAGGGCCCACTTATCCAAGTCTGTAAAAATGTTCAGATTATGGTTCTTCAAATTAAGTTTCAGGTAGTATTATTTCCTTCTAGACATTTTGTTAAAAAATTAAAGGATAGAGCTCCATCGTTCAATGAATTCGATTCACAATGTTCCTGCTAAAGCAACCTGCTTTAGCTCCAAGGACTGGCGTTTCTCAGACCTGCCTGGCCAGGGCTCCCTTTTCCTATGCACCACCTGTAGGGAAGGGGAAGGTTACTTCTAGTTACGACCACAGAGAGCACTTTTAGGGTCTTCCCAGGATTTGGAATAATTTCCGAAGGCAAGTGAAGGTTGCTCTCAGGCTTTCTATTCTTTATAAAGGTGAGGCAGATTTTCAGTACAGATTCAGGATTCTCCCAGCCTTTGTAGAGTATCCAACGCCCTGGGTCTTAGAGCCCGCACAAATAGCGCAGGTGACACGACCTTGAGGGTGTGCATGGGCGGCCGGATGGAAGGCCTTCGTGGCAAGCCCTGCAGCTGGAAACGAGAGGACTTGATGATGACAATGTCTGTTTCTACCTCAAGTCTGGAGGCGACAAGTGGGAGACCAAGAGACGAATGTGCTCTGTTTGGCTCTAAGGGGTTTCGTGCTACTGGGACACCTTGCACTAACGGGTCTGGCCTCCTGACAGCAGAGAGAGGCAGGAGTTCTCGTTTCTTTCTTTCTTTTTTTCTAATGTTTTATTTATTTCTAGGAGAGAGAGAGAGACAGCGTGAACAGGGGAGGGTCAGAGAGAGAGGGAGATACAGACTCTGAAACAGGCTCCAGGCTCTGAGCTGGCAGTCAGCACAGAGCCCGACATGGGGCTCGAACCCACGAACCATGAGATCATGACCTAAGCGAATGTCAGACGCTTAACCGACTAAGCCACCCAGGCACCCCAGGAGTTCTCTTTTCTAAACTTCCTTCTGCAGAGGACGATAGTCTTGAGTGTTATGTCAAGTATTACCAGGACAGTGTAATATTCTTAGAGGCAGATAGGAGGCACATGGCACACAACTGACCAATAAGAGAGAACTCAAAGAAAATGTGCTGAGCCTCACCTGCCGCCGTGGACCCTTTGCTCTCTGAGTATTAGGAGGCTCCCACACTGTCTGGTGCCCTGTCAGGTGCAGGTGAGGGGAGGGACTGTGCTCTGGTGGCCAGAGCCGAGTTCCTAGCTGCTTTGTTGCTGTGGGCTGGCCATGTCCCACTCTTGAGGGCCAGCAGCAGATCAGGCAGGCTGCTTCTAATAGCTGCCCTCACTGCGTACCGGGTGATGTTGACTACTCCCTGCTGCTGCCTCATCAGACTGGAGCTGCAAGCCTGGGACGCCACCCTTCCATGCTGTTGAAAGCACTTTAGGAAACTGTCTTTAATTACTGTTTGAGGATGTCTCCTCCTTTCCTGTCGAGACTGTAATAGACACCAATAGTAAACCCCCTTTTCTCTGACACTCTATCCATTGTTTCCTTTGTCACCTGGTGCAGACAGAGACTTGAATGGTTTCCAGCACTGACCATCTATCACCCCAAGTGTGTCCAGGCTTCTGTGAGTCTGGATGCACGCATGCATCATATGAACATGTGAGAGACAGAAAGAGAGGGGCAAGGAGAGACAGAGACAGAGAGAAATTTCTGCATACACTTTCACTATATACCTCCCATGGCCGCTGATGCCAAAATAGGCAGAGATGTTGACAGATCAAAGAGAAAACGTAACACATCCCTAAATCTGCATCATCCCAGGTAATTATTACCTGTTAGTTGTGTTTCAACCAAGCAAGTGACACCTCCCTCAATCCAGTGAAAGGGCTGGACAAGGAAATGTAAGAGCAATGGGAGAGCTCATTGTAAGAAAGTGACACACGTCTCATTGAATAAAGATGTCACTGGAAGACACCCAGCAGATCTTAAGCGTCTTTCTTGATTTGATAAACACAGTTCCTCTAGGGAATGAACAACATGATGAACTGGAAATCACTGAGTATGACTTTTGCTTCTTGTCTTGTAGTCCAGAGAATCACATGCTCGGCAGTGAGGCCAGCAGGCACAGCCACAGCGTTCCGCCGGGTGCAGGGAACATGGCTTCTAAATCACCTGTCACATCACTTAATCAGCGTAGAGAAAATAAGAAGACGCTTGAGATGGTGTCAACTGGAAATGAGGATAAGAAGCCTTTACAATGAAAAATTTACATTGATTTACTGTCTCCAGCCAACCCTGTGTTGCTGCAAAGCCTCCAGCCTACTTGCTTTGCCACACTGCAAAGGAGGTTGGACACTGATCCCCCTACTTGACTACAGAAAGTCCTGGAAGTCATGACCCACGTATGTTGCATTCTTTCACTCACCAATTTTCTGGAACAGAATACGCATGCATTGTTTCTTTGCAAGGGCAGCTCAAGTCAGTGGCTCAAGATGTGGTCTGAAGTATAAGAGTGGCCCAGAGTATTCTAGAAATGAGTTTGTCATATCCTGGGTGTTTGAAGCATGGTGAAATGTACCCCTTATTCATTCCATGAATCAGCCATTTGTTGGCCTTAGGATTCTACCTGCCTATCCGTTCAGCCTGGGCTGTTCTGGGGCTCCCATTCATTCTGTCCATCCACCATATCCCAGCAGTGACTAAGAGGAGGTAAGGGGCCATAGCTAGTGACAGGGTGAAGGTGACTTTGGTGCTAGCCATGACTCATACCCTGACGCTGTTTTTTAAGGAAGAACTGAGGACAGAAGACCAGGGCTGGCCATGCCTCCCAGTGGAAAGAAAGATTGGCACATCACAAACACCAAATATCTGGCCTGCAATGTACCACGGTACTGGATTCTGAGGAATATACCTCACAGAGAACACAGTAGGGAAAGGCAGGCCTTGAAGCATGAGCTGATCATTTCTGCTCACCCAGTCAGCTGGGCTGGCGTTCCCGGGGACCTTGGGGCCGCCGATGGAGGAGCTGAGGACTCAGTCTGGAAGCATGACCTCGCACCCCACCTTTGCCTCCCATATGGGCTCCACCCAAGTTCACACTTGCTCACTCAAGGCCTTCCTCTGGCCACAACACAGCCTGGTTTCCGAAAAGAAGCCATCATCTGAATGCTGACCCACATACTCCTAACAGGTCAGTGATGTGCATTCCAGATGATCTGCAACCTGGTGACCTATGCTATCACCTGGGTCGACCTTCTGGTGGTTGGCGGCCTCAGCAACTCTACAAACTCCCAGCTGTGCCTCCGAGAGATCATGGTCAGATTCACATCCTCAACCTCTCCTTTCAGTGGGTCCTGTACTTACACTCCAACTGCAAGCAGCTTCTCCCTTAAGGACACACTTTCCCTTTGGTCAACTTAAGTGGTGCCATTTTTTCCCCATCGTCCTTTACCCCGGGCTTGAATGTGGACAGCGTGTCTTTTTGTTCTTCATTATGACTTCATGACCACCAACTCTCCTTCCTCACTAACCCCCCGACTTTGAAGCCCATTTCCAAGACCATAGCTCCTTTCTGCTCTTCTTCATGTAATTATTTGTGTGTTCCCCATTATTCCTTTGAGGTGTGCGTCTGGCTTTCTGTCTTCTATCCATCCATCTGTTACCACAGTTGATGACCTCAGGGCTCATGCAAACCTTAGCACATGTGCCCGAGCCCCTCCTTTCCTCCTCAACCTGGCAATACTCGTTCCTGCCATGTCTCCTCAGAAATGCCCTTCCACCATTATATTCTAGATATAGAATCTAGATCTATAACAACAGCAATGTTTCCTTCAAAATCTCAGCTATGAACATCTTACTCTCTGACCAGAACTTGCTGGTGTTCTAGACCACTTCCTGTAGTTGGGCCACTGCAAAATGACTTACTCCATGAAGCCCTCTGAAGCATTCACCAACATGCCTCCATTTTCCTGATCATATAACCACTTTCCTTCTTTCTGACTTAGATATCTTGTTCCCACACAGTAAGAGGTTTTAAAAATTCCACTGACTATCTTTGCTATTTCTAGTATTTCAAAGTGGTTATTTTTTATGCACACGTGTATCTAGCACTTTCCTTCATAATTACTTACTTTTGTAGTGCACACCCAACTTTGTTTACTCTCTCCAGAGATATGAACGTATATATGTGATAGCCATCCTAGGACTTCAAGGTGAGGAGGGAACTCTAAATTGCTGGGTGTTCCTGGTTAATCTTCAATTCGGCTGTGGGTCTAGAAAATTTGGTTTGCAAATGCATATTGGGTAGGAAGGCTTCATTCTTTCTCTGTCATGGCTGTTTGGCCGAATTTACTGTTAATCTCACCGCCCAACACCCAGGCCCTAACAAGTGGCAGGCTCAGCTTGGATTCCATCCCTGTAGTGATATCATCGTTTCATCTAAAACCAAGTTTTTAAGGCTGTGTGCTGGGACAGGCCATGAAGAAACACATGTCCACCACCCGCCGAGCCTACTTCCAGGCCATGTGTGTGCAGTTAGCCTGGCTCTAGTCCTCCCACGCACAGAGGGTGTCCCACCCAACCCCCACCCCAATCCCAACCCCCACCCCAACCCCAACCCTGTCCACAACTGAATCTCAGCCCTAACCTTAACTCTAACCTCAACCCCAACCCTAATCCTAACCCCAAACTCAACATTATTCCCAACCCTAATGCCAACCCCAGACCCAACCCTAACCCCAACCCCAACCTCAACAAACTGAGAAACAGCTCTGATCACCGTCCTGCCACACAAGTGAAGACGAAAGTGGAACGTGAGTCTTTGCTGCTGGTGACAGGGTGCTTTGTCCCTGATGTGGGGCACTGTTGTCATCATCCATGTAACTACTAAGCCGAGAGCTATAAAAGCAGTTTGCGTAAAAAGAGGTTGTGTTGCTTAATATGGAAGGTTCCTGCCGGTTAACGTGGAAGATTTTTCCTGTTGCAGAGAGATTTAGGGATTCAAAAATAGAACGCATTCAGTTTTAAATTGTTCTGAATGCTCTAAAAACATCCCCTTTAAAATGTCATCAGGTGTGCATTTTGGAGCAAACAATAAACAACACCGAAAAAGGCGGATGTTTCCCGGGAAACTGAAGTTGATATCACTTGTCTGTTATCAGTTGCTATTTATGTCAGGTTAGAAGCTTCTTCTTCTTTATCTGTGTTTGAATATCCACCCACAATCCAGCTGTTCTGTCGCCCTGGCCCAATTCCAGGGGTCTGCCTTGCAATCGCCTTTCCACACCAGCATCGTGTGGCCTCGCCCGGTGTGGCCCTTCCCCTGCAGCCGGGGGCCTTGCCGGGCCAGGGGGGGGCCTGCATTTGCTCATTCTTTGGGATTGATCATCTGGAGATGTTGACCACCTTTCAAACCTGCACCTACAAGCCGGTTAGGACCTGGGCGGAGTTCCTTCCGCGGTTCTAAGAGCCTACAGTGGAGAAGGGTAGCTACACTTATCGACACAATCCTCGCTCACACACGTGCTAATGCAGGGGACTTTCAAATGCCCAGCAGAGAACACAGGCCGCTCCTCCCCGGGTCGGGTTTTTAACTGAAGTGCTGAAGACGCTGTCTTTAAATCCCTCCCGAAAATGACCTTGAACCCCTCTCTCCACTCTGGTCCTAGCGGTTGCTGGGCCATCCGACGGTTCCAAGTATGCATTCAGTTAGCCGGGCACTGGGACCTTCCTGACGGCCTCTCGCGTGCGTCCTCGGGCCATTCCCCCACACGCTAGCGCGCTTGCCCTCTGCGGTCGCGCAGGATGCCGCACCCTGGCCTTGCCACCCGCCGGCGCGTCCCCTCCTCCTCCCGGGCTCTCGGCCTCACCTGTGCGCCTCTGCCTTCCTGCCCGGGGCAGAACCCCATCAGCTAGCACCACCGAGCCCCGCTTCCTGGCCCCTCACCCACTGGCTGTGGTGGCCGATGGCCCCCCAGGCTGAGACTGCCCTGCGCACCTCGGTTCCGGTCGCCCCAGCGCACCTGTGAGTGGGTGGCTCTGAACCTTCAGCTTCTCGCCCGGGGCTTTGCTCAAGCAATCGCTTCCTCTTCCCCACATCATGGAGCCCGTCTTCTGCTGGTTAAATATCGCTCCTCCCAAGGACAAGCTCTCTCGGGATCCTTCTCTGCAGTCACTGCCAAACGCCTGTTGGGTGTGTCTACGTGCCCACCCGGGGGTGTCTGCAAAGGGCAGAGACCCCCCCCCCCCCATTTCCTTCCCAGCCTTGCCCACGGTGCCCCGGACGGCCCCTCGACACTGCCAGAAGCTGGATGCCACCCTTGCTTCCTACGTTTGCCTCAGCCCCACCCCCTGTTCAACTCATGGGCAGGTATTTCAGCTCCTTCTCCAAAGGGTGCCCGGCTCTCCCGCCCACCTCGACTCCCGCGTCCACACCAGCCTCACGCCTCCTGCCTGGAAGTCTCAGTTCCCGTCCCCGCTAGTCTCCCTGCTGTCTCTGTTGCTTTTAACATTTCGTTCAGGACACCATGAGGGCGGGGATGGCCAGGCCCAAAGGACCGGTGCCGACCCGGTGGACGCAGGCCGGTGGACGCAAACAGGTAGGAAAGGGAACATGTGGCCCGCTGGCCTCTGGCTTGTCTGACCGCCCTCCAAGCGTTGCTGCAAAGGCTGGGGGAGGGGGGGTTCCCGGGGTCGCTGGCGCCCTCGGGTGTCCTCACGGCTGAAACCTGGCTCAGTGTTCGTCCCCTCTCTGCTCAATCAATCTAACAGAAAAGCAACTCCAGTGGCCTCCCCCCTCGCCCCGTCCCTGCTTTCACTGATGGTTGGCTTCCTGGCAGCTCCGTGCTGACAGCTGGGAGCCTGGAGCCTGCTCCGGACTCTGTCTCCCTCTCTCTCTGCCCCTCCGCCCCTCACACATGGTCTCTCCCTCTCAAAAATAAACGTTAAAAAAATTAAAAATTAAAAAAAGCCTGACTTGGTAGCTTGTTGTGACACAGCCATGCTTCATTTTACCTATTTGCTGGGAGATGATGGCTTATAATGCTACTTTCTAATTTCTTGTTAATTTATAGTAATGCCATTATTTTCACTGACCTTATATTCAGCATTCTTGCTAAGTACACTTATAAATTCTAACAATTTATTTGCACACTTACCTCTAATTTCTACATACCCAAGCATGTTGTCTGCAAATAAAATATTTCTTCTCTTGGGGGCGCCTGGGTGGCTCAGTCAGTTGAGCGTCTGACTCTTGGCTCAGGTCATGATCCCAGGGTGGTGGGATGGAGCCCCGTGTCGGGTTCTGCACAGAACATGGGGGCTCTTGCTTAAGATTCTCTCTCTCTCTCTCTCTCCCTCTCTCTCCCTCCCTTACCACCGAGGCCCCTCTCCTGCTCATACTCTCTCTCTAAGAAAAATAACAAACAAAAAATGCTTTCTTTTTCCATTATTTTATTTTATAAGATAGATTTTACTCATAAATATATTTTTATTTGTAAAAACATTTTATTTCTTTTCTTTGTCGCATTGCAGTGGTCAGATCTCCAAGGGTCATGTCAAATTGATGTGAGCCTTGTTTCTTTTGGAGCTAAAAGGGTAAGATTTCAATTTTTTATGATTGATATTTCGTATAGAGACATAGAGATGCCATCCACCAGGTTATGGGCATTCCCCTCTGCCACTGGCAGAGCATGAAGCCAGGGGCGGTGTCTGCCGAGTGTGGGGCCCTCTGCGACGACGCAGGTCTCCTTCCCCAACTGTGGATGAAAGAATCCACAAGAGCAATTTGACAGAGGGGACGCGGAAGTGAATGGTAGGGTGCAGTCACGGTCCGGGCCCACGTCCGCCTGGGCCCCGCTGCACTCCTCGCACGAGGCTGGGGCCCCTTCCTTGTTTCTGCGGACAGGAGACTGGGGCACGGAGCAAGGACGGGAGCTTGGGTGAAGAGGGTGAGCTTTAACTCTGTTTGATTTATTTTCATCGTCTTCCTTTGTGGGGGCTGTAAGACATCATTCAGAAGGACCTCGCTTCTCAGGCTTTGGGTGCTTCTGAAATGTCTTTTGCTTCCTTGCAAGCCTCAAGGAGGTTGTGCGCCAGGCCCAGCCAGGCTGGAACATTCGGGCTGCCTCGCGATCCCTCTGGCCTGGGCCTGGGCGCAGCCTCGGTCCTGCCAATGAGGCTGGAGACCCAGAGCCCCCACACCAGGGAGCAGGAGGTCAGAGCCCCCCCGCGGCCACCTGCTCATTTGCATGCGGTCAGGCTGGAAGGGAGCTAGTGTTCTATCGCGGTGCTTCATGGGGGTCCCACGGGAGTGGCCGGCCCCTCGCTCCCTCACTCCATCCCAGCCGCCAGGCGCCCTCTCTCTGTTGCCCCGTCCTTCCCTCCCGGCCCCTGGCTTTGGTGTGGGCCACCCGCCCCCCTGAGATTCACCCTCTGGATGCTCCTTCTTCTCCAAACACTTCCTGACAGGTGCACACTCTTCAAACTTCTGTCCTTGGCTCTCAAGTCCTACCCACCTGTATAAACTGCAGGTGTAAATGCAAACCACTTCTCTGCTAGAGATCTGAGATCGTGTGTAGCACTAACTGGAAAAGAGCCTTCCAAAAATACCTGCCTGTGTAGACTCTCTGTGGTAAGGCTTCCAATCAAGCCTTGAGCTCCTTCAAGTCACTTAATTTCTCTTAGCTTCCATTGTCTTATCGCCAGGCTGAGATACATGCTCACACCTAGACAGAGACCTTTATCGAGATACAGAGATGCACGTAAATTTGCCCAAGTACTAAGTAATTGGAAAGATCGTTCCTGAGGCTCCACCATGATAAAAACCTACACTCCTCTAGGTGCCTGGTCTTCGCAGAGGAGAAGGCAGCTGTGCGCAGGATGTCCGAGGCGGGTAACGTGGGAAGGTATTCCAGGTAGAAAATGGCCGTGGCAAGCCCCAGAAGCCTGCGGGGGCTGTGGGTGGGCGCTGGAATGAAGGAGAACCGCTCTGCAACAGGAGACAGAGACTCAGTCCTGCGGGCCTCCCCTCGCCATTGTGAGGAATCTGTTATTTGAATGGATAAGAAAACAAGATCCAGTGATGTGCAGCCTATTAGAGACTTGCTTTAGCTCTGAAGACACAGTGGACTGGGATCGAAGGGGGTGGAAAAAGATATTTTAAGCCAATGGTAACCAGCCAACCAAACAAACAAAGAAACAAAACAGGCAAACAGGGTAGCCATGCTTACGTCAGACAAAATGGACTTTAAACTAAAAACATTAAACAGAGACAAAGGAGACCTTTATATAACGACAAGGGGCCAGCCCACCGAGACCTAACGAGTGTAGACAGCCAGGCACCTCACAGGACACATCACGCATACAGCAAGTATGGACAAAACTGGAAGAGATACGGGCTGTATGTCACAAAGCACTTGACTCGTCAGCAATGGACGGATTTGGAAAGATTCGTGTTGGAAGGCGGACTTGGGCTTTGGAAGCGGCTCAGAGAACTCAGAAGAAAACCCGGGCAGGCGTCCGGGAGACCAGAGGCGGTCAGGTGCTTCAGCTGCAAGATCGCTGTGACCCTCCAGGATCAGCTAATACCTGCTGAGGTCGGGGCGGCCTGGGGGCGGCCGTGGGGGTCTAGGGGTGCTGCTGCAGGGGTGTGGGGAGCCGGTGGTCCTGGAAGAAAAAGTAGAGGGGATCCGGGGTCAAATCAAGGAAACTGTATCGACGTTAGTTATTTGAACAGACATTGTGTAATCTGCATAAATACTACCAGTACAGCACTGCCTAAAATAACGATTTGAGGTTTACTGTATTTGAACACTGTGTTGTCTTTTCTTCCCTCTGCTTGGCCTTCGCCTTCTTCTGGGTTTTGTTTTGAAGGGTTTTATCTTTCATGAAAGTTAGATTCTAAGTGCAATTTCTCCCACATCCAGTAGGCGGAAGCAAAGTATGCAATTTTATTTTTTCCACCTGCAACTTTTGTTTTCAATAAAAATCATGTGCTTCATTACTTACCTACGTTATCCAATTACAAAAGTGAAAGATAGATATTTTAGGGAATATGAAAAAAATGATAACAAGAAACTCTAATCATATTACAATCTTTGTGCTGCTTCTATGGCTTTTAAATTGTTTAAGTTAGTGTGTAAATCTGTTTTGCACTTAATAGGGATTATACTGCAAATTCCGTTCTGTTTCTGGATTTATTTCACTTACACTGCATTATAAACATTTTCCCA